GTTATCATGTGGATTTATGATTTCAACATTCTGTTTCCAGAGCTGGTCTGATGTCGAACCACGGCTGTGGTTCATCCGGCCTCATATTTAACCCTCGCCCCCTACTTTTGTTCATTAGTCAGTCTGATCAAGTCTAGTTGAAAATGAGTGTGAAAATGTTGGAGTTGAGTTTTTCCAAAGCGACACAGTATTTCTTGGTTTTTACGTCATTCCATGTTTTTAATGTTTTCACCGTCGTCAACTTCAATCATCAGATTTAAAGACTCACGTCTTTTTTTTTTTTACCTTTTAGAGAAACTCTGAACAACTTCTGACAGGTGGATGGTTTTCATAGTAATTGTTTTTGACAGAATTCTACTCCAGTCATGTGATCCTCAATCAATTCCCCTTCTGTGCGTGTGTGTGTGTGTGTGTGTGAAAGAGAGAGAATTGTGTTTGTCTGCCCCTCACTGTGCTGTAACCTGATGCCCCTGCTGTCCTGTCCTCAACTCTGTCAAGGCTGTGTGTGTGTGTGTGTGTGTGTGGTCGACAAAGTTAGAAGAAAAAAAATCTTAGTGACTTTGGATTGATGAGAAAACACCACAGAACTGACATCATCAATCAGTTGTGTTGAAGATTTTTTTTTTTTGGCAGATTCGTTCATATTCTTTTGAAGTTTTTTCATTCAAGTATCAACGCAGCACAAACTGCAAATGCTGCCACAGTATATGGTCCGTCTTAACGTGATTCAAAATGATGACTTGAACCGAGTCTTAACATCAGTGACTACGACGGCCTTACTTCACCAGGCGTCGGTGTCCTGGTGCGATTGGTTTCCAAAATCTCCCCCAAAGATTTGAGTTTGTCTTCAAACGCTGTAACTTTCCGTTTAAAGCCGTTGAAATCAGTGCAGTTTAGACTTCCAACAGAAATTGAGCGAACAGCCTGTGAACCAAATTTAAAAGGATTACTTATATTTACCAGGATTTATTCTCTGTCATGACAAGCTGCATTTCCACCACGTTGGAACAGGAAGTCTGTCGACTCACGCCTCACCAAAGCCAACGCTTCAGACCAGCACAAAAATACCTGCTCTTTCTTGTCAAAATTTCAAAATAGTAAAAGTCTATGTGGGTCACGGTAGTCTTTGAAAGTAGTGCAGTCTGTGACCAGTCAGAAAGTTGTCAACTTCCTGGAGTCCTAGTTCCTGAACAAAAAATCCTGGTTCTACGATCTAGTCCTGGTCCCTGGAGTGGATTCACAAAGTTCTTGGAACAAAACCATCAGAAAAAAAACCCACATATTTAACACATTTATATGTGTTAATTGGATTTTTAAAAATAAATAAATAAATAAAACTAATGGCATCAGAATTAAAACAAAGCTGATGAGAGGCGTCGGACAGAGACGGACGTGGAGAAAAGTGGAGAATTAGAGAGCGCTGGTGTTGAGTCACTGATCTACATTCAATCTGCACTATGTGAATTATTG